CAATATATATACTTTCAAACACCTGCCATTATTGTTCTTATAAAAGAAAAGTGTATCATTAGTAATTATATATTTATGGTGAGGACTTTATTTTCTAAAACTGTGCAAATGTGGGGTCAGTCGTTTTAAACTCGTTAATTTTTGTTCAGTTTGACGAAGATAGAGATCCATATGTTATGAATAAAAGCATGCAACATTTTGCCTGCTAAAATGTATTGTTGCCAATAATTTCACTTTACATCTAAATCTGCATCTTGGGAAATTGAATTCACGAAGGCAAAGCTAAAAGTCAGCTGACTAATATTTGTAGAATCTTTTCTTTTTAATTATCGGGCATGAAATTGTTTACCTCATGTTTTAAGTTCATTTCATACCATCAGGGAAAATAATCAGCTTCTCACAAGTTGTGACAATTAAGAGATATTTCATTTAGCTCTGTTTTCTGTTTTTAAAGTTATCTGACTTTAAGAAGCAGAGACTTTTCAATTCTCTTAGTTTTCTTTGCATTTTTTTACTCGGAGAGAAACGTCTGATAGGACTAAAAGCATCAGATGAGGGGCCTGTCTGCACGGTCCTTTATGCGATAGAGCCGTGCAGTCTTCATACCCAGCAAAGTTGATCAATATTAGAGTCACTCAAGTATCAAATCCTATTCATCATCGCTGGGAAGCAGCTTTTAGACGGACCTCCCTCACCTCCAGGCTTCTCCTGTTTCAGAGCAGCAGCTGCTCGCCTCTCGGCGCAAACACACGGACTGTATCCAAGAAACAGAAACACAGACAGACTGCTGTCCCGAGCTCGCATTACACAGATCCATTAAATCTATCTTTTTTAAACACCTCTATCAACGCACACAAACCCTGGCACGGTGTGACGAAGATAATCAGATATTTTGCTTCAAACGCACAATTAAAAAAATGACCAAAATCTATTCTCGGGAGGTGTAATGCTCGCTAAAAATGGAAGCAGTAGTTTTTCTGATTGGGTTGAGAGACAAAATCCTGCTCACCGTCTTTTTCAAATCCCCAAAAGAAAGGCTTTCAGAAGTTCAAGTAAAACGTGCACGGTTTATTTCAGCTTCTGTCGCTTACACAGACACATTTAAAGCACACTTTCACATATGAAATATGTTTTTTTCTTCTTCTTCTCATCCAAAATAAATTAAATTCAAATAAATACGGAAATGTAAAGAGAAAAAATAAAAGAAACAAACAAAAAAGAAATAAATAATTAATTAAATGACGTTTTCTCAGAAGCGTTGACAAAATATGTATAAATAAGGCCGACAGTTCCCTTCATCAGAATGTCTACTGTACAAAGTGCTCTCCACAAAGGTGTCAGTGGACGAATAATAATAATAATAATAATAATAATAATAATAATAATAATAATAATTCATGAGGACACAAAGAGGGGGGATGAACCACTTCTGAATAATAACAATATTAATTTGATTGTCAGAGCATCATTGCAGTGAACTTGAACATACAACAGGTTTACACATCAGTGAGTCTTCTAGGCCTAATTCACCATCAACCCAGTGGCAGAGGAACAAAAAAATAATAAAAGAAAATCACATTAAAATCAAACCAATTTTTTTTTATCCTACTCGGGGTTTTTTTGTTGTTGTTTATATGTGTGTGTGTTTTTAAATCACCATAAACGTGCCAACACTTGCGTAATGAGGTAGACACACAGCTATACCGTGTGAATGTGTGTTCTCGTGCGCGTGTTCGTGTGTGTGTGTGTGTTTCTTCTTATTGCAGTGCATTCACTTTGGGGGGGGCGGATTGTTTCCATACTTCTGGAGCCACAAAGAAAACACCCATGTCCTCCTTCTCCTCCCCCCTTTTATTTTACGAGTAAACCATGCAACGGATTACAGGAGTTACTGCGCCTCACGAATTAGCCACAGACCAAAGGACGCTTTTAACGCGTTTGGTCGGATCTCGTCTCCAAAACCTTTTGAATTTCGTAAAGAAACAAACACCTGGGAGAAAAGACAGCGAAAAAAAAATCAATACATTTAAATGAGCTTTTTTTCCCCCGACACACACAGAGGTGCAATATATTCACAACTATGTACACTGATAAATATAAAAAGCTATTCCGGCTAATGAGGATAATAATAATTATTCCTCGATTCCCGTCATTATTATTCTTAATTTTTTGTACAATAATTGCCTTGTGAATGAACGGGACGGAGCATTGTTCCCTCCTCTTTTTCCCCTACGATGCTGATCACTTTCTCCCACATCTCAAGGGAGCAATGGCCTATTCTTGTGGAGAAGCATAAAGATTTAAGAGTCTCGAGTTTTTGGACAGGGTCTCAGTCTTTTTTGTCTATTTTATTTTCTCTCCCAGTCCCCATGCTCCGTCTCCACTGTCAGAATAAGAAAGGTACACCGTTGTATCCACTTCGTTTTTTTTCTGGATGGATGAGGCTGAATTTATTAGAACACGTCCGGGTTTATACTGACAGAACAAGTCACCAGCTGTCTCACATCCAAACCTAAATGTGTATCTAAAAATACTGAAAAAACCCCGTCGAGCGCTTTCTTTGCGCTGAATACTTTGTGTGAAGTCGTTTCCACATCTGCAGACACACGGCTGTGGATTCTGCTCCACTGTAACGAAGAAAAATCACGCATGCACACACACACATACGCGCATTTCGTCCATTCTTTAGTCAGAAAACGTGATTTTTCTTCTGTAAAATAAATAAGTAGCATTTTCAATGCCGTACCATTTATTAATTCTGTAAAGCAAAAACCATTTGATGAGATTTTTTTTTTCAATGACCGTAGTCTGCTGTAACACTTTGATGAGCACCTATATGATCTGTGAGATGACTGTTTACTAATTGAGCGCGCACCTATGGGGCCCGGGTGGCTGTCAGACAGGATCTGCCCAGGTAGTAAAGGCACGACGGTGTACCTTGTATTTTTCTGACAGTGTGGTGCAGCAGCAGCAGCAGCTTGTCTCTGGTTTGTCTTTTTGGAAACGGGGCAGAGACCCGCGGCTTCGCTGGCCTTAGTGTGTCGCAGAAAACTTCATTCGTTTCTGCTTTTGCCTCTGATTGCAAAACCAAACCCGGACCACGTTCTTTTTCAGGTCCAGTTTCTCGGCGATCGCGGCGATCTTCTCGGATGAGGGCCTCGGCTGCACGGCGAAATAAGCCTCCAGAGAGCGCTTCTCAGGTGCAGCGATAGAAGTGCGTTTCCTTTTTTTGTCCCCACCGTTAAAGAGCTCCGGCTTGGTCATCTTCTCCCTCTGTGCCCGCTCGGCCTCCTCCAGCCAGGCCTCCAGGATCGGCTTCAGGGCCACCATGTTGTTGTGCGACAGCGTCAGGGACTCGAACCTGCAGATGGTGCTCTGGCTAAGACACCCGACCCCGGGGATCTTAAGGTTGGCCAGGGCAGCCCCCACGTCCGCCTGAGTCACCCCAAGTTTGATCCGCCTTTGTTTGAACCTTTCCGCAAAAGACTCCAACTCCCGGGGATCAGGCTCCGCGTCTGCGCCGGCGGTCCCCAGGGAAGCGTGGGATCCCAGCCCGTGGGGGTGCATGTTCATGGATTGCGGGTGGTGGTGGTGGTGCTGCATGTGGTTGATGGCCGACATGTGGGCGTGAGCCGTGTGCGAGGCCGTGGAACAGACGTCTGAGCCGGGCATTCCTCCGAGAGAAATACCGGGCGTGAGGTGGTCCAGCAGGTCGCCCTCCAGGCCCTGCGCCGGCTGGTGGTGCGCCGGGTGATGGTGGGAGGTGAGCACCGAAGGGTGGTGCAGGTGTGCGGAGGAGGAGGTCGGGGTGCAGGTCATGCTGGTCATTGTGGTCATGGTGTGGTAGGTGGCGTCTGGCTTGAACGGGTGACTTTTCTGTGCCACGATGTCCACGGCGGCCAGAGCCTCGGCTCTCTGCAGCAGCGTCTCATCAAAGCCGGCGAAGATGTTGCCCTGGAGCTGCGAGGGGAGCAGAGGGAGGCCGGTTAGAGGAAAGCTTCTCAGCAACAAAACCTGACAGCTTCGTCAAAGCATCCACCGCGACTCCAGCTAATCACATCACATTTATTTAAACGTTAAAATAACAATTCATGAAGTGCAAACTATTAAATAAAATGACAAATCTGTGGAAAGTTTTCTATCGTAACCCACTGATATTTTTCAGAATTTGGACTGTTTCACAAATACTTTTCTGCTTTTCCAGGTTAACATTTAAACTGCAATATTAATCAGTTAATGTGCATTATTTACAGTATAAAAGCAATTGTCACAACATTACAAAAGACGAAAATTTTACGCGCGCAAGGTGAACTGGACTTTGTTTCATTAGCTCTCAAAACAACCTCGACGTGGACACAGCTGGATGTGCCCGGTGCCTCGAAAGTGTGTCAGCGTGGAAGGATATTCATTTAAAATTAATATTTACGATCTCCTGAATAATTTCTGCGGACAATGAAATGAAACGGCTGTGAGTTTGAATATGAATGGGACAATATGAGATAACACGCGCTCGGAGATTCCACGCAGGCTTTTCATTCGTCCTCTCCCTCCTTCGTCTTTTATCGTCGTTTGTTTGAAACAGAATCCCCCACACTTTCTCAAAACACCAGATCTGGCTTCGGCAGAGGCGCATTTTTTGCGTCTGCGGGCACCACGGTTGGCTTGGGTTTTTTTTGTTTTGTTTTATTTTGTTTTTGCGCTGCTAGTACTCCCTGGGTTGACCTGTTATATCACCGTCTCCAGTCTCTTTACGCGGGTTTTGTTTCACATTTCATCGAGCGCTGTCATTCGATGCTATAATATTGAACTTTATCCTCACTCCACCGTCCAAACAAGACGCACATCCTGCTCTCAAAGTAGAAAGACTTTAGCTGCCAAAATGTGGGGCTGTTTTTATTATATTAAATCATTTTATATTGCTTTACATGAATAGAAATCAAGAATAAACTAAAGACATTTTCTACACTGTCAGAGGGGACTGGAAGTTTTGTAAGAGCTGCAGGAAGTCACGAGTGAATTCTGGACTCACCGACGGTGTGGGAAGGCAGGCTCTGCGGATGGCCTCGGAGCTGGAGTGCAGAGGAGTGTATTTGGGTTCGTGCAGGATGGGGTGCATACTGAAAGGCTGCTTGCTGTTCATCGACATCATGATTGCAGAAGTGAGGGAGGGTCGCTGTCCGTTTTCCTCGTTCCACTCCGTTTTGATGGTTTTTCTCAAAAGAAACGCCTCAGAGAGGAAGAAAACGTGCCCGCCACGCGCAGATAACTTGGGAAAAAAAGATTTTTTTTTCTTTATCGGGTTTTTGTAGATGTAGTCAGACTCAGTAAAAAAAATATACAGAACGTGACAACCAGAGGTAACTCCGGGACACCTGCGGGTCTTCTGCCTCCTGTAAACGACTTCTATAATAAAGATGCTCCTTGCCTCCAGCGCCTATATTGGACCACTGCCTCCCAGGCTCTTCCTCATTGGAGGATCCTCACTCCCTCCCCCTGGAC